CCTCACTTCAACTCCCGCTTCCGTCGGCTCAACTCCAAATTTGCACTCGAGGTATTCCGTCTTCGTCCTACTCAACTTGAAACCTTTAGACTCAAGAGCATGTCTCCAAATCTCTAGCATCTCGTTGACGCCGCCTCTTGTCTCGTCAATTAGAATAATGTCATCCGCAAATAGCATGCACCATGGAACCTCCCCTTGAATATGATGAATCAGTGCATCCATCACCAGAGCAAATAGGAATGAGCTGAGCGCAAACCCTTGGTGCAACCCCGTAATAACTGGAAAGTGTACAAGACAGCTAGTAGAAATTGTACAACTGGCTAGGTAGTTAGAAAATAGATTCCTTTTCAGTGTATTTATACAATTGGCTGTACATACGTTTGAATCATAAAAAAATATAGAGAAAATTCTCCTGAATTCTTCTTCAATTCTGTCGGGTGGGGGTGGGGTAAGGGGTGTACTTTCACACGTTGGACGGTTTGTGTAATGTGGATTTTTTGTTTGAGATTGCAAAATTTTTGAGGCCTTGAAAATACCCTGTAATCAAATCAGAATCAGAATCAATCCTGATTCCTATTCCCTATACCACATTTGTACCGTCCCACTTTCTCTTCCTCCTTTTTGCCTTTTGGCCTTTTCACTCTCCCTATCTTCTCCTTATTACTCTCTCTCTCTCTCACACACACACACAGAGTTTTCTTCTCAGCTTCTGATGCATCGACTAAGATTTCTATAGCTTCTAATGTTGTTTTCAATTCCCTTTGGTTTGAGCAAAACTAGTATTAGCTTTTGCAATCTGAGTTTTGGATTCATGTTTACTAGCACTTCGCTGTATAATTCAGCAACTGTTAATTATAGCTCCAAAGTCTTCTGGTTCTTTTGTAATTAATGGTTTTTGAATCAATTTCCGCTATTACGCCTGATTTCTCTCGCAATTCACTATTCGCAACAACAAGGAAGAGAAGGGGTTTGAGGAAATTGGGCTCAAATTTGGATTTCAATTGGGTTTCTACTAAATGGGCAATTCGACCTTGTTGTGTGAATGGTGGTGGAAACCACCATAATTTTGATGTACATATTACAAATAGTATTGCCACAAGAGGAGCTCGAAATATTCTAATTAAGAGGTTTTCTGATGAATTAGAACCTTCTACAAGTGTCTCTGATGAATTAGAAGCTTCTACTAGTCGTTCTAGTAGTAACAATTTTGCTAGTTTTCAAGAAGACCCTTTTGTAGATAAGTTAAGGACTCAATTAGGGGTGATGCATCCATTACCTTCACCTCCAATTAATCGAGGCGTTTTCGGGCTTTTTGCTTTGTTTTTCTTTGTTGGTGTTGTTTTTGATAAGGTTTGGACTTCAAGAAAAAGTAGTTCTAAGGGAGGGGGGAATGGAGGGAACCCCGAGGGGATGTGGCCGCGGGTCCCAATGAATCTTTCGTCATTGTTAGAGAAGGATTTGCAAAGGAAAGAATCAGTGGAGTGGGTAAATATGGTGTTAGGGAAGTTGTGGAAGGTCTATAGAGGCGGCATTGAGAATTGGATCATCGGTTTGCTTCAGCCTGTTATTGATAATTTGAAGAAGCCTGATTATGTAGAGAGAGTTGAGATTAAGCAATTTTCGCTCGGGGATGAGCCTCTTTCTGTTAGGAGCGTCGAGCGCAGAACTTCTCGTCGAGTCAATGATTTGCAGTGAGTAACATTTCTTGCAAAGCTCTTTGCTTGTTTGATATAGAAAAAACTCTCCTAACTGTAAAAGGAAAAAAGGTTGAATTTAAAATTAGAAAAGCTCTTTACTTGTTTGATTTCCTTGGTTGAAAGAAAGCCTTTAAGTTGCTATATTCTCCTTAGCCTGCATTCTTCAGTTGTGACGAGGTCTAGAATCAAAAGAGAATTATACACACAACATTCTATTAGAGTATTAGAGAAAGCTCTTTCCTTGTGAAATTATTTCGGTTGAAAGCTATCGAGTTGATATTTTCTCCTTAGCTTTCGGTCCTTATTTATCCTTATCTTTCGTTCCTTATTTCAGTTGACGTCCAGAATCAGAAGGAAAATATAGGTACATCATTTAATTAGGAGGAGAATGTTTTCTTTCGATATAGTGGTGCTTTCACTCTATTGAAGAAACAACTAAACTAGGTGAGAGTGATGAAAAAAAGAAAAAAAAAAATTAGACTAGCTCCTTGAGAAATTTGAATCTGATAATTACGACCTGTCTTTTCCTCGATAAAGTTTGTAGTGGAGCTATACATTAGTTACCTCCATTCTGTGCCAAGGTAGTTTCGGATTTACAAATTGAAGGATAATGTTATGAAACTTCATAGAACATTGTTTGCTATCAATATACTTAAGCATCCTCTTGACCCAGAAAATCCTGATTCTGAACCAGGGAAGTATTTTTTTTGGGACATCTCCAACCAAATTTTGGCTCTCCTCATATGCTCTGTCTCATTTTACTACCGATTATTCAACTCAACTCCATAAATTTTGGTTCATTATTTGAAATCAGAACATGTGTATAGCTATGACCTTCTCTACTTTTCTCTGTGCTACAAAGTTCTCTAGCTCCAATCAAAGTGACATGATAAAAATACAACTCCTTACCTTTTTTGTTATGTGAAAGTTCATTAAATGTATCAACTGATTTGTGCATTGTTTAATGCTGCCTAGGTATCAGATAGGTCTCCGATACACTGGTGGTGCTCGTATGCTTTTAATGCTGTCACTAAAATTTGGAGTTATCCCCATTGTTGTACCAGTCGGTGTTCGGAACTTTGACATTGATGGTGAACTCTGGGTCAAGTTACGATTAATACAAACAGAGCCTTGGGTTGGAGCGGTTTCTTGGGCTTTTGTTTCCCTTCCGAAGATAAAGCTTGACTTGTCACCATTCCGTTTGTTCAACCTAATGGGTATGTGAAATTCAATCTTTAGGGCTATTATCTGTGAGATGAATCATGTGACAGATAAGAATCTTGGTGTTTAATGCCAGAAGAAAATATAGAGATATTCTAGTGTTTTCCTATTAATTTTATTCTTTTAATATTGGACTAAGATGAATTTAGATGGTTTGACATGGACAGTGAATATAATCAACTCTAACTTGCTTGGGATTGAGTCATAGTTGTTGTTATTGCATGCCCAAATGATTTAGATATTAAATAGTGTTTTAAAGCAGATATATTCAAGATTTTACCTATAAAAGTTTCACCATTTTTTTTATTTTTTTTTAAAGTGTAACAAAAGTTTCACCATTCTTTTGTGTTTAATTTGTTTCTTTTGAAACCTCTTTGACTTTCTTTTTGTTAGCGCTCAATTCTTAGAGAAGAGTGAGCCATTCAGTGACTTATGGAGTGGAAAAAGTGTTTAGATTGTGAGTTTAATCATGGGTTTCAAATTTTTATTGTTGGAACATATTCTTTAAGACTTATGGATGAACTCCATAGAGTTAATTCGTATGGAGTACTGTAATGTAATTTTAGGAACTTCATACGAGTCTTTAGCACCGATTAGGTATACTTTTGAAGATTATGAAACATATTTGCATTCTTCTTTTCTAGTTTTCTTTCTTGCTCTGCATAATCATCTCTATGGACTCATCTCCCTAACTAGCATTCTTCTGCCATAAAACCTGATTTTTTTATTAGTGAAAACCAGCTCTTTTTTGTTGAGTTGCTGTGAAGTGAGATCTCCAATATGTAGTTACCAAATGTTGATTACTTACTGAGGCCGAGTTGTCATCATTAATTGCCCATTGTTTATTTTTCTTTTCACGGATCTAAAATGGGATAACGATACCAAAAATAATTTTATAAACTAGGCGAGTGACTTTATTGATGTGGCCAGTATGAGGATATTCACATATTTATGTTTTTTTCTTGCATGTATTTGGGCAACACCAGCAATTCCTGTTCTATCAATGTAAGTAGTATTTTATCCATTATCTTTTGTTGTGTTTTTATTACACATGCGTATTCTGTTTCAGTTTGTTTATCCCAATTGCCAGCTCATTGAAGAGTCCTTTTTTTTGGTGGGGATAAGCCATCTCATTGAANTGGTGGGGATAAGTCAGCTCATTGAAGAATGCTTTCCACGACCGCTTTTACCCCTAAGACCTTATGCAGTCACATATGCTTCTTTCAGTTTTACAATTAAAAAAACCATTTGCATTTCAAGTTATAGGTCATGTTCAGTTGTCATCAATCATGTATGACTCTCTTGAGAATCTGCCACATTATCTTTATTCCAAGGAAGCCCTCGGCCTCTATCTTTCTGTCTTTCTCTCATGCTTCCCATTTATCCTCTCTGATTCTTTTGGAAATCTCTGGTCATTTGAAATGGTCTATGGTAATGACTAATGGTTGCATTTGGTGCTTTAGCACGGATCTTCTTTATATTTAATTCTAGGCCTAGATAGTTCTAGCATCATATTCATTCTTGATTTCTTGCCCGTCTTGTTTTCAATTTACAATATTCTATGGAACTATCTCATTTTCCACTGCAGCAGTGAGTGTGAGTTCTTATTTCTTCTATGGATATTTCAGGTTTTTGAAGAAACTTCTTACTGAGGATTTACCTCGTCTTTTCGTCCGACCGAAAAAAATTGTTTTGGATTTTCAGAAAGGGAAGGCAGTTGGCCCTGTTCCAAATGATGTTAAGTCTGGTCAAAATGAAGTGAAGGCTGGAGAAATGCAAGAAGGAAACAGGGACTTTGCTGGAGAACTATCAGTGACTCTTGTTGATGCAAGGAAACTTTCTTATATCATCTATGGTATGAATTTGTTCATCTATCATCAGTGGCATCAATCTTTCCTAGTTCTGATTTTTGCTTCTTTGTAACACTAAAAACTTGTCAATTCGTTTCTTCATATTCTTTTAATAGTAAGAAAATGCTGTGTACATATTCTAATCTGGTGAAAGAAAAAAGAAAAAAGGGTATTTGTTTGAAAATCAGTCGAAGATCCTAAATAATGTGACTTCCATTGCATGAACAACTACTTTAAGTGAATATAAAAGCCATCCATTTGGGGACTCATAGTTGGTGCTGTAATCATAGTGAACCAGTGGAAGCATAATTTATCATTCTTCTTTCAAATAGAATAATTACAGGATGAAATCACTGATTAAGAAAACAGTACCAAATGAATCACATTGTAAAGAAGGAAATGTGAAGACTTTTGACTATGCTCACCGACAAATATAAAATAATTTCGTAGCTAAAGTTTGGTAGAAATGAGTGATTCCATTAAATTACTGTCGCCCCCACCTCTTCCCTTTTGTCTTTTCTTTTAAGTGCCAACCACGGCTTGGGTGCACATATATAACCTTTGTCTCAAGTTTATCAGAAAGTATGTTCTTTATGTGATTCAATGACATTGGCCACCACCAAGAAACAGCGACTTCATTGATGTCCATGCCTGGATTCAGATGCTAGGTACTTATCAAAAAAATAAAAACAAAAACTTTTGTTTCCAGATGCTAGGTTAGCACATGGAGAGCCTTGCACATAAGATGTTTAGATCAGGTTATCACATAAGGGTTTTGTAGGCCTCATTTCTTTCATGAATACTACTTGTTTTCTGTAAATGTAATTTCCTCTTCTATTTTTCCATGTCTCTCTTTGTGAAATTCTCCTGGACTCTGTCATTCAGGCAAAACTGATCCATATGTTATTCTAAGACTTGGAGATCAAGTAATACGCAGCAAAAGAAACAGTCAAACTACTGTAATTGGACCTCCTGGAGAGCCTATATGGAATCAGGTGATTTAAATTTAGATCTGTTGGCCTGATATAGTGGTAGGATTTATTTGTCGGTCGGCTTGCTTAATCTTTTGCTGTAACTCATACATCTGTTGCCCATTTTTTCTTTGTTCTTTGGCAGGATTTTCACATGTTTGTCACAAACCCCAGGAAACAAAAGCTATATATAGAAGCAAAGGATTCCCTTGGATTTACAGATTTTACTATTGGGGCAGGAGAGGTAAACATCCTGTACATGCAAATATTATCTGTTGTCTTTGTTGCTCAAAGGTGATCCATCTAATTTCTTGTTTTCTGGGGCGAAGAGCTAAAGATGATTCTTGCAATGAAACAAATATGCTTAGAAGGTGTAATTCTTCTTTACTAGATTGTATGAGGATTGCGTTCTCTGTTTTGTTTTTCTTTACTAAGTTCAGATATGAGTCAAGTATCAGCGAAGTTACAAACTTCTGCTTGGAACTTATTAAAACTTTGTGGATACTGCTAGACTTTGAAATAATTTTGTGCTTAGTGCTATCTTTGAAATCTGCAATATTAGGTGAGAATGGGTCAAAATTAGTGGTAGAGGTTTTTGTGATTTATAGAATAAAAAAGAGGGTAACTTACAATTTTTAGAAAGGTATCCTGCTGATGACTGCTATTTCTAGGTTGATCTGGGATCTCTTGAAGATACTGTACCGACAGACATAATTGTGGTCATCAGAGGCTGGGGACTACTGGGACCAAGGCCTGTAGGAGAGGTCTTACTCCGACTGACATATAAAGCTTATGTCGAAGATGAAGAAGATGAAAGGATTGAAGCAAGGTCCTTGGATTTGGATGCTTCAGATGATGAATTATCCGACTTTGATGAACGAGATGCTGCTGTATATGAGCAGCGTGGAAAGACTGTGTCTAGTGGAACAGATAAAGAATCATTTGTGGATTTATTAGCAGCGTTAATTGTCAGTGAGGAATTCCAAGGGATCGTGGCATCTGAAACAGGCAATATTAAAACTGTAGATGATTTTAAAACTAGAGTGTCAGCATCAAGACAACGTACTCCTGCTAAACCTGTACAACAAAATTCTGATACCCCTGAAAATTTCGGAGGTAAATTGCATTGAATTGCTCTGGATAGTTCAAATTTCAATTTTATTTTCTCCTAGGAAATGCTTAAGAGTTCTTCTCATTTCTTGCTTGTCTCATTTAACACCTCTTATTTGCAGAATTGGCCCTATTTTGGCTTGCGGTTATCACAAGTATCTCAGTTCTAATTGCTCTCAATGTCAGTGGTTCTAGCATTTTCAATCCCTGATATATGAAACAAAATAAAATTGATACCACCTAGTAAAGAATACAATATAGAGCTTCTGCTGGGTGATTCTGTCAAAACCACACAGTTGTCCCCACTCTGGGATTGCCCGAACGGAAACTTTATCATAGTTCGTGCCTTTTGTCATTCTTCCATTCGAGGTATGTTGGTCTTCTGATTCTATACCTTAACTCACTATTCCACATGCATTTGTCACTTAAACTCATTTCTCTACCTCTTGCAGTATATGTTGTCGGCCTTTTGGCTAAGAACTTTAGTATCTGCTCTTTACCAGTTTCTCTGCAACTAATTAGCAACCAATGACAAATATAGGAGAAGGTGAATTTGAAATTCCAGCGGGTGGTTTACGTAGTGTAATTTATATCATGGTGCCACTGAAAGAGTATGTTTGTTGGGTAGCCTAGAGGCTCTTAAACAAGTAATTACCGAATGAACTTTGAACTTAATGTGCTAACATTTAACATAAAAAATTAGCATGACAACTACAATGTTAATCTTGAATATTGACAATATGAGCGTACAATTTGATCTAATTTCAGATTGAAAAATACCAACATATTTCTTATTTCCTTGTATAAATTAGCAGATTTACCATTGTTTCTTGGTGTTTCAGTTTCAAAATTTTATCACTTCGATAGTTATTTATATCCTTGAAGAATATAGTATGACTTAACAATTGGTGGATAACACAAAACATGGATTTGCATATGACAGATTCATATCCACGAGGAATTCTTCTAGGAAAATAGGGATTTTAACACTGGAAAAAATATATTCATTCAGGATAATTATTTTCATGAAAACATAACTTGGTTTACTTTTGTTGTCTTAAGTTGTGTTTCTTTAATTCCTGAGCTCTGAACTAAATTTGCTTATTCTTTTGTTTGCTGTGGCAGGCTGGGCAACCGATTCCTCCATTTTCTGTCTACTGTTGTACACTAACATTTTAACAAGATCAAATACTCAAACCCTCTCCCCCCTACAACCTCCAAAAGCAAATGAAGAGGATCCCCAAACACATAAAAGAGAACATTCAAATATATTTTTTTTTACAATGAGGTATATATTCTTGTTAGCGGCAAATTTTGGCCATCCCCTTCTTCTAGGTATTTGTTTCATCTGGTAAAATTTCTCTCCTCTCTCTCTGTCTCTGTGTGTGTGTGTGTGTTGCAGAGTTGGATTCAGCCACTGAACTTTGACTTTAATGTGATTTAAGTTATTTTAGCCGTGGTTCACCATGTGTCGTGAACTGCCCAACTTTAGTGGCCTGATGTTTTCTCTTTACAAGAGATTCAATCTAAGAGTCTACTATGCCATTGAAACTAGTGAAAATAGTTATAATTCTGTCCTCTTCAGCCTAACCTTTCTTTCTCTTCATTCTTAAAGTGGTAAGAGGACAACCGTATTATGATATGACGATACTGTCAATGTTGCATGTGGTAGAGTATTTTGACTAGAACGAAACTAAAGATCAAGCAAGTATTGTTGGCTACTTGCCAAGTTGAGAAACAAAGTATTCAAGTGTACACTTTATTTGTTAGAAAAAAAGCTTTAAATACATCGATTTTCAGCTGCTTATGGGGGAGTTGGCAGAGAAGGAAATGAGCAATTCTTAGTTTCAGAAGATTAACTTTATTTCTGGATGACTCTCTTTCTATTCTAAAGTTGTAATATTAGTATTGTCCTATTTTCTTATCTGTGATTCTCTATTTAAGCCTACTACTTATATATCGTAGTATGTCCCTCTATGTGTTAAAGTTTGTTTCTTTCGACAATTGCCGCATGAACTTTGATAAGTTATTATAATGGTATTCGTATTTTCAATTGGTGCTTGATCAGAAATTGACCTATATATGTTGGAAGGTCAGATTTTGAGTGATAAATATTTTCATATCTATCTATTTTATTTCTTAATATATTTTTTATTAATCCTTGCATTCGAAAGAATCACAGGATAATACCAACACAAAGAGTGACATGATGGAGAGTTTGTATTGACTATAGACGACTTAATGATGCTACAAGAAAAGATTATTTTCCTTTGCCCTTTACTGATCAAATGCTAGAAAGAATAGCATGATATGGTTTGTATTGTTTTCTTGATGGATACTCAGGATACAATCAGATACCAACTGCTCCAGAAGACTAAGACATAACTACTTTCAACATTGCCCTTGCTACATTTCAACATTGCATGACAGCTATCTTTTCTCAAAATTTTCTTGAATTTTTATGGATGATTTCACTCTTTTCGAAAAATCATTTAAATATTGCATTTATCACTTAAGCCTAGTACTCAAAAGAGGCAAGGAAACTAACTTGGTTTTGAATTGGGAAAAATGTTATTTTATGGTACAAGAGGGAATTGTGCTTGAACAGTGCTAAGGGAATAGAAGTTAATAAAGCAAAAATCAGCATCATATCAGGATTACCCCCTCCCACAAAAGGTAAGAGGTATTAGAAGTATCTTAAGACATGCTGATTTTTATAGAAGGTTCATAAAAGATTTTTCAAAAATTTCAAACCTCCAACTAACCTACTCATGAAAGATGCCAGGTTTGATTTTTCAGATGAGTGCAAGAAAGCTTTCGAAATCCTCAAAGAGAAATTAGCTAACACGCCCACTGTAGTCACCCCTGACTGGAGTCAACCTTTTGAAATAATGTATGACGCGAGTGATATAGCGGTGGGAGCCGTTTTAGAACAAAAGAGGGATAAGTTTTTTAGACTAATATACTACGCTAGTGGAACTCTCAATGAAGCTCAATTGAATTATGCTACCACTGAGAAAGAACTATTGGCGGTAATATTTGCCTTTGATAAATTTTGATCTTACCTCATCGAAACTAAGGTCACAGTATACACTGACCATGCGGTAGTAAAATACCTCTTAGCAAAAAAAAAGAAGCTAAACCTCGATTGCTAACGTGAATATTATTTTTACAAGAATTTGACCTTGAAATTAAAGATCGAAAAGGTTCTGAAAATCAAGTGATAGTTCACTTATCAAGACTGGAAAATCCGCCTTTAGAATGTACTGATATCAGGGAAGAACTCCTTGATGATCAAATCTGCTTAATTGCAACAGTAGTTGATCAACCCCCATGGTTTACCGACATTGCCAATTACTTGGTCGGCAACTGGATATCTCAAGGATTCTCCTACCAAAGAAAAAGCTTTTAGCATAAGCTAAATATTATTTTTGGTATGTTCCTTGTTCAATATTGTGCAGATAGTCTTATTAGAAGACGTGTCCTTGAAATAGAAATGAATAATATTTTGCACCATTATTATGATGCTGCGGCCGGTGGCCATTATGCAGCTAACAAGACTGCCTCCAAAGTGTTGGAAGCAGGATTCTTTTGGCCTACCATTTTCAAGGATGCGAGAATTTATGTCGCAAAGTGTGACAGATATCAACGAACAAGAAACATCTCCAAAAGAGATGAAATGCTCATGCAGTCTATTCAGGTATGTGAAATATTTGATATATGGGGGATAGATTTTATGGGTCCTTTTTCTTTCGTCCTATTCCTATGAGTACATCCATGTGGCAGTAGATTATGTGTCACGATGGGTTGAAAACATACCCACAGAAAAAAATGACGCGTAGACGGTGTGTGATTTTCTTAGAAAATATATTTTCACGAGATTTGGCGCACCGCGAGTCATTATTACTGATCAAGGCACTCATTTCATCAACATACAATTTTCTAGCCTACTAGTTAACTACAGTGTAACTCATAAAACGGACACACCATATCATGCCCAAACACAAAGGCAAGTGGAAGTTTCTAATCATGAAATAAAGAGAATCCTCGAAAATACGGTTGGAAGATCAAGAAAAGATGGCAATAAAACTTGATGATGCATTATGAGCCTACCGAACGACATTTAAAATGTCTACTTATACAACCTCTTACAAATTAGTCTATACCAAAGCATGTCATTTGCCCATCGAACTTGAACATAAAGCTTTTTGGGCTTTAAAAAAATTGAACATGGAACTATGCCCAGTGAGAAAGAACAGATTATTACAGGTAAATGAACTAGACGAGTTCAGAATGGAAGCTTATGAAAATTCAAAACTCTGTAAGAAAAAGATAAAGAAATGACAAGACAAGATAAGATTTACGTGGTTCGGCAATTTTTGCCTACTTCACATTCACACAATGAATAGCTCTTTATTAATTGAAAAGAAAGAAGAAGTTGAGGGATGGTATGCAAATGAAAATGCAGACCCCTTTTATAGACATTTGAATGCCCTGCCGCCATAAACACTTACGTCATAAGAATGCTGACGTAAGCACTTACGCCATAAGAAATGCCGACGTAAGCACTTACGTCATAGGAAAAGATTTCAAAGATGGCTTCCGCCTATCATTTTTCTTCTCTCTTTGACTTTTCTTTCTTTTATTTTGTCTACTTTTTCTTCTTTCACATTCAACAACAGGTTTGCTCTTATCAATCTCTCCGTCAAACCTATGTTACATCAAGAAAGAAATTAAAAAAAAAGATTTTCTATTCTCTGGTGGCGCCTTCACGCTATCAGTCTTGAAGGCTAATTGAGGCAGTGCACAACCTCAGTTTATCAACACCGACAACTTTGGTCAACATGCCCGACAAGTTCTTTGATCCTTGTATCTTCTGCAGGGTAAGAGTTCCTTCACTTATCAACTCTCGGATATGATGATACCTCAATTGGATGTGCTTTGATCTTGCATGAAATACTGGATTCTTGGAAAGATGAATTACTGGCTATCGCTAAAAAGCGCACAATTGTCCTGCTCTTTACCTAGCTCTTTAAGAAAATTCTTGAGCCAAATCATCTTTTTTCCAGCTTCTGAGATTTTCATGTACTCTGCTTCAATGGTAGATAGAACAACACTTTTCTAAAGTCTGGACATCCAGTTAACAGCAGTACCACCCATGGTAAACTCGTAGCATGTGGTACTTTTTTGACTATCCAAATCACCGCCTAAATTTGCATTAGTAAAACCTTGTAAGATAATATTGATCTTTTTAAAACGAAGTATCATGCCTGAGGTTCCTTTGAGATATCGCAATATCCATTTTGCACCTTCTCAATGCTACTTTGTTGGATATGACATGTATCTACTGACAACTCCAATTGCATGGGCTATGTGAGGACTAGTACAAACCATAGTATACATCAAACTTCCTACTGTTGAAGCATATGGAACTTTGGACATGTACTTCCTTTCTTCATCTGTCTTAGGTGATTGGTTCTTCGACAGATTAAGATGTCTTCCGAGTGGAGTGATTCTGGTCTTTGCATCATGAAGACTGAACCTGCTTAGTACCTTCTGTATGTACTTTTCTTGAGACAATTTTAAGGTTCTTTCAGACCTGTTTCTACTAAACCTCATCCCAAGAATTTGCTTAGTTGATCCTAAGTTTTTCATTTCAATCTCCTCCGCCAGTTGTTGCTTAACCCTGTTGATCTCATTTATGCTAGATCCTGCAATTACCATATCATCAACGTACAACAGTAAAATGATATAGGATTCATCAAGATTTTTGATATAACAACAATGGTCTATCTCACATCGTGTAATACTATTGTTATGCATGAATCCAACAAATTTCTTATACCATTATCCGGGAGCTTATTTCAAACCATACAAACTCTTCTGCAACTTACACACAAGGTTTTCTTTATGAGAAACTTGAAAACCTTCAGGTTGCGTCATGTAGATGTCTTCTTCAAGGTCACCATGCAAGAAAGCTATTTTAACATCTAGCTGCTCCAAATGTAAATTTTTTGTAGCTACGATACTTAACACCAACCTGATAGTAGTTAATTTGACTACAGAAGAGAAGATCTCGATGTAATCAATTCCTTCCTTCTGCTGAAAGCCTTTTACTACTAATAGTGCTTTATATCTCTTCTTACCATCATGTTCTTCCTTGACTATGTACACCCACTTGTTCTGCAATGCCTTATTCCTTTTGGTAATTCTGTAAATATCTATGTTTTATTCTTTTGAAGAGAATTCATTTCTTCTTTCATGACTAGCTTCTACTTATCAGAGTCTAACACCTGCGTTGCTTCAACAAAATGCTCCGGTTCTCCAGCATCAGTCAAAAGTAAATAGTGGAGAGAGAGAGAGAGTTAACCTATATGGAGAATTCGTGACTCTTGTAAATCTCCTTAATGTAGGTTCAAGAGTAACCGATCCCGAATTTGATTTAAGTCCTGACTCCAGATTTGGTTCTGTATCTGATTCTATCTCTGGTTCCGGTTCTGATCCAGATTCGGCTTTTGGTTCTTTAGCTTCAATTTCAGAACCAATTGTAATCCCTCTAACCACGTCATTTTCTAAGATTTCTTCTAACTCAACTATTTCAGATGTCTATTTACTGGTGTTGGTTGGTTCTACTTCAAGCTTGCCTTTGAACATCACATTTTTATTAAATATGATATTCCTGTGTCTTAGGATCTTTCTATTCTGATCATCCCAAAATCGATAACCAAAATTATCNATTTTCAAAAATGGGTATCATTAATTATTAGTTAAGTTAAAAAAAAGAAGGAAAAAGGCCTAAAAGCCCATAAAAGGGTTGTTTGAAACAAAAGGCTCCAAGCCTTAAAGAGAAGCAGAACGTTTATCAAAAAGGACGGAAGGCAAAAGCTGAGACAAAAAACAGAACAGTTCGCTCACGAAATAGAGGCTTCTTATCACACATGCAACGGAAAATTTAGGGTTCTTTACAAATCACTAATTCTTGAACTCAGGTATGTAAAATTCCCTATGGTCAATTACCGTAATAGGTAAGAATTGAATAGTTAATTCCCTTATTCCTCTATATCAATAATAAATTTCATATTAGGTGTAAAACTTTAAAATTGATTAAAATATGCTGGTTGTAGTAGAATCAATTGGTTAACGGGTATAAATTGGACTGGGGCCTACGTATTTGCTCGAGAAGTTTTGAGGTGAGTTAATATAATCCTTTACCAAAGTAGTTTTACTCACAAAAGTATGCATACGAGGTGTTTGATGAATTGGCTAAAAAAATGAATATGTACTTAATTGAAGAGTGAGTAGCTCATCTTACTTTTCCAACTCAAAAGTTTTCTGCCTCACATTCAATTTCAAATCGTTTCCCTTATGTAGCAGAAATAAAGTTCCTACCATTGGGTTTGTTCAAAAATCTACATTTTTAGTTTGGTACTATCGTATTAGAAACACGGTAAGAGTAAATATTGTGAGGAATCCAATTCATATGTTTAGATTTTTTTTCCTTTTTTGTTTTTTTGTTTCTCTATTTGGAATTTGGCCAAGAAGTTGCATTGACATTCTATTAGCATAGAATTATGTTAGTTAAAGTGAGATGATTTATTCTGACATATGTGCTTAAATTTTCAGATTTTTGTGTTATTCTTATATGCCACTTTCATGTGAAAAATTTATGGAGAACCAAGATTCTTTAAAAATGCTTTTGAATGTTAATTTCATTCTTATGTCATGCTTTATATTTAAGGATACCGGTATGATCATGTGTATAAGATTTAGACTTGAAAAGTCACAAGAAGAAGTTTTAGAAAGAAAAGATTTTTGGGAGTATCCTTTATTCTGATAAGGGGTCATCGTCCAGGCCGAGGGTTCTGGCCAAGGCGTTGACTTCCTGAAACAACTTCTGCCAAAGTAGGGAGCACAAGAGCCGAGGGTCTCGTTGCTGAGAATTTACTTAGCCATGCTAAGATATGATATATGAGCGTTGAGAACCATGAAGCGAGTGGCACCTCGTGGATTGGGCCTATTCGATCAGGTTGGGATCGAACCCGTGCCGATCATGAGACAAAATTAAGTCAGGATAGTTGGAAATCCCAAAGTACAAAGAGAAGTATTTTTTTGAAAAAGAAAAGAATTTCTTTTATAATATTCATAAACTGCTATTATGCAATTATTTTAGAATTATTCTTATAAGCTTTATGTTTTACATGCATTTAGAATCTTTGCTCATAATGTATATGTTATTAAAATTTTGTCCCTTGTTGTTGAGACTCACTGAGTACAATGGATGGTACTGACGTTCTCTTTTGGGAACCTACGTTGGTCTGCGGTACAACATAGGAACCGAATTTGCAGGCGAGCAGGCTACAAGTTAGGGATTCCTTCTCTTCCAGTGCTATTGGTGAGCTCCGCTTTTGTTCGTGGAGTATTCCTTAGAGTCATTTTTATTTAGCTATTTCTTTGTTTACTTAGAGAACTGGCCAGAAAATCTCATGTCCTGAGTAGTGCGTCAGTTTATCAGTAGAGGCTTCATAGACATAGTTGTTGAGTTAAGATTCGAATGTTTTTTTATAATAACTTAGCAGTAATGCAGTAGTTACTACGAATAAAGTTTTGGAGTTGATTTATTTAAATATTAAATTAGTCAAAAGTATTTGATTAGAGTATTGCCTTGTTGCATGTAAAGTTTGGAGTTATAATAGATTTGATAAGCAGAGATAGTTCGCTCGGTCGTGTTTAGTGATCGAGTGTCGGTCCCAGCCTGTTCAGAAAATGGGTCGTGACAAACTTGGTATCAGAGCCTCAGGTTTATGGAGTCCTAGGGGTCTATGAAGCCGTGTTAGTAAAGTCTTGTTTTTGTGTATGAAGCGCGCCATACTTATAAACAGGAGGCTACAAGCATTTAGGAAAAGTCTCATTTTTTTCATACTTTAGATCGTGCAGTAGATGCTACCTATTAGAAACTATCTAATGTATTCGTTTCTTTAAAACTCGCAGAGATGGATCGTACTCGTAACTCTGACACCGACACTCAGGATGATGCTCAAGAAATTATTGCTACCATTATGGCTCAAGGCAGAACTAAGAAGGCTTCGACTCAGAAAAGGAAGGGAAAATCCACAAAGGGAGTCCAAGTACCCAGGTTGAACAAGAAGGAGGGGTGGAGCATGATGATCTAGTACCTCAGGATCCAGTACCGCCCCCAACAGCAGCTCCGACTCAGGCAACTATATCTCCCGAGGTGGGTCAGATGTTTAATGCTGTCAACAGTACTATGGAGATGTTTAAATCCTTTATGGCCAACCAGAACGAGAGAAGAGATGAGATTCCACCTCAATCAAATAGACAGAACAATTCTGAGTCCTCAAGAGTGAATGAATTTTTGAAGTTGAGTCCTCCAGTGTTCCATGGTTCTATAGTTGATGAAGATCCGATGTTGTGGCTGGAGAGTGTCAAGAAAGCCCTCCAAGTGATGAAAGCATTTGATGATGAAGTTGTGGAGCTAGCTGCTTACCAGCTTAGAGATGTGGCCGGCGTTTGGTTTGAGATGTGGGAAAAGGAAAGAGATGAAGATGATGGTCCGCCTACATGGGAAGAATTTGAAGAGGCCTTCATGGCTAACTTTATCCCAGAAGAGGATAGGGAAGCTAAGGCTACAGAGTTCAAATAGTTCAAGCAAGGGAATAAAATGTGCAAGAGTACTACATGGAATTCATAAGGTTAGCTAAGCATGCTCATCATATGGTTAAGACAGAAAAAGCAAAGATTCACAGGTTTGTTGGCGGTTTAGCTTACCACATTAAGGATACGGCATCAGCTGCAGTAGTAGGGATGACAGTCTTCTCCTCTGTTGTGGTATTTGCCAAGCACTTAGAAAAAGACAGACAACTAAGTAAAGAAGAAAAAAAGCATAACAAAAAAGCCCGGACAACGGGCAGGTTTAATGGTACATCTAGCGGAGGTGGAAGGGATTCCTTTAATAAGGAGTCATTAGCACCAGCTCAGTCCGGTCATCAGTCAGGTGGTGGGTCTTCCTTCAAACGTACTCAGAGTTATGGAAATCAGTCTCGCTAGAATCAGAATTTTAGGACATCATCCTCGCATAGCCAGAGTCATGCTGCGCAACATTCACACCAACAAGGTCTTTGTGGAACATGTAAGCGGCAACATTCAGGTCAGTGTAATCTCGGGTTTCATGGTTGCTACCATTGTGGAGACATTGGTCATATAAAGGCCAACTGCCCAAAGTTGCGACGTAATTTCAGTGGTGGATCAACTCGTCCTTCTAGTTCCTCAGCTACTGCAGTTGCACCACCTCAGGATCATGGTTCTTATAATCAGACCGGGCATAGAGCAGGCAGAGGTGCAGACTGAGTTACTCAGGGAGGGGGACAACCATGTTTGTTTGCTACACTTGATCGTCAGAGTGCAGAGGCATCTGCAGAAGTTATTACAGGTATACTTTTAGTCTGCTCACATAATGCTTATGCCATAATGGATCCAGGTTCAATGTTTTCATATGTGACTTCATACTTTGCAATTAACCTCGGACTAGAACCGGAACAACTTAGTGAGCCATACCTAGTATCTACTCCAGTTGGCGAGTCAGTGAAAGTCACAAGAGTCTATAGATGTTGTATAGTTTCAGTCCAAGGTCGCAACACCAAGGCCGATCTCACAGAATTAGAAATGGTGGATTTCGATGTGATCATGGGTATGGATTGGTTGTCTTCCTGCTATGCCNCTTTGGCATTGATCTCATGCCAGGTACTCAGTCCATATCTATACCTCATTATAGGATGGCTCTAGCAGAACTTAATGAGTTGAGAGAACAGTTGAAAGACCTTCTTAACAAGGGCTTCATCAGGCTGAGTGTTTCACCATGGGGTTCCCCGGTCCTGTTTGTCAAGAAGAAAGATGGGTCTCTCAAAATGTGCGTCGACTATCGGTAGTTGAATAAAGTTACCATTAAGAACAAGTACCCACTGCCAAGAATTGATGATTTATTTGATCAACTTCAGGGTGCAAAGTACTTTTCAAAAATAGACTTGAGGTCAGGGTACCATTAGTTGAGAATCAGAGAAGAGGATATATTTAAAACAGCCTTTAGAACTCGCTATGGGCACTATGAATTTCTAGTGATGTCCTTCGGGTTGACAAATGCTCCAGCTGCATTCATGGACCTCATGAACAGAGTTTTCAAGCCATTCCTGGATACCTTTATTATTGTGTATAGATGATATTTTGGTGTACTCTAAGAGCAAGGAAGATCATGCAAAACACCTTAGAATAGCCTTGCAGACCTTGAAGGAGAATGAGCTTTATGCCAAGTTTTCAAAATGTGAGTTCTAGTTGCAGTCAGTGGCATTATTAGGCCACGTGGTATCTAGTGAAGGAATAAAAGTAGACCCTCAGAAGACAGAAGTAGTCAAGAACTGGCCTAGGCCGACAACACCAATCGAAATCAGGAGTTTCTTGGGGTTAGCTGGCTACTATAGAAGGTTTGTGGATGGGTTTTCCTCACTTGCAGCTCCATTAACTAAGTTGACTCAGAAAGCGATTAAGTTCTAATGGTCAGATGTTTGTGAGCAGAGTTTTCAAGAGTTAAAGAAGAGGTTGACCACTGCACCTGTGTTAACTTTGCCGACAGGTTCGGGTGGATTCACAGTGTATTATGATGCCTCCATAGTGAGCCTTGGTTGTGTTCTTATGCAAACTAGAAAAGTTATTGCTTATGCTTCCAGGCAGTTAAAGAATCATGAAAAAAAACTACCCTACACACGACTTGGAGCTTGTAGCAGTGGTGTTTGCATTAAAGATATGGCGACACTACCTTTATGGAGAGCATTCTGAAGTGTTTACAGATCACAAAAGCCTCCAGTACATTTTCAAGCAAAAAGAATTAAATTTGAGACAGAGAAGGTGGCTCAAGCTATTGAAAGATTATGACATCAATATCCTTTATCACCCGGGCAAAGCTAATGTGGTAGCAGATGTACTTAGTAGGAAGTCAATGGGTGTCTTGGCCCATCTTGTAGTACAAAGGCGATCTTTGGGTCGAGAAATTCAAAAGCTAGCAATTGATGGAATTAGATTGGATGAGACCGAAGAAGGAGGTATAACTGCTTATGCCTTAGCGCAATCCAACCTTGTTGCGCATGTTAAGGCTAAGCAAGACGAAGATCCGTACTTAGTAAAGTTAAAAGAAGGAGTCAGAAACAAAGAAATCACTGCTTTCACTCTAGGAAGTGACGGAGTTTTAAAGTTGAATGATCGGTTATGTGTGCCGGATGTAGATAGTCTTAGGAAAGCCATAATGGAGGAAGCTCACAGCTCGAGGTACTCTATCTACCCAGGTGCTACCAAAATGTATCTAGATTTGAAAGAGTTGTATTGGTGGAAAGACATGAAGAAACAAGTAGCAGATCATGTGGCTAAATGTTTAAATTGCCAGCAAGTCAAAGCCGAGCATCAGAGGCCTGGTGGCCTAGCTCAAGATATAGAGATACCATAGTGGAAATGGGAGATGATTAATATGATTTCGTAGTAGGTATACCTTGCACGTACCGTAAACATGATTCAATTTGAGTTATTGTAGACCGATTGACAAAGTCCGTGCATTTCCTACCAGTAAAGATGACAGATTCTGCAGAGCAGTATGCGTAGTTGTACAACAAAGAAATAGTCTGATTGCATGGTACTCCAGTTTCAATCATATCTGATAGAGGCCCTCAGTTTACGACGCATTTTTGGTAGGCATTTCAGAAAAGATTAGGTACCAAGGTCAATTTGAGCACTACTTTCCATCCACGGACCGATGGCTAGGCAGAAAGGACTATTCAAACACTCGAAGATATGCTGCGGGCATGTGTTATAGATTTTGGAAGTAATTTGGATGATCACTTACCACTTATAGAATTTGCTTACAATAACAGCTATCAGGTTAGCATCGGTATGGCTCCTTATGAAGCGTTGTATGGGCGAAGATGTAGGTCTCCAGTGGGTTGGTTTGAACCAGCAGAGGTGCCGTTGATTGGTCCAGAGTTTGTTTGTGAGGCCTTAGAGAAAGTTCAGCTAATCAGGGAAAGACTGAAAGCGTCCCAGAGTCGTCAAAAGTCTTATTCTGACAAGAGACATCGTGAGTTAGAGTTCATGGCTGGTGACAAGGTGTTTTTAAAAGTTTCACCAATGAAAGGAGTTATGAGGTTTGGTAAGAAGGGGAAACTTAGTCCTAGATTTATTGGACCTTATGAGATTATAGAAAAGAAGGGAAACGTAGCTTATGATCTAGCGTTGCCCATTAAGTTATCCTCTGTTCATCCTGTCTTTCATGTGTCTATGCTTAGAAAGTACATTCATGACGATTCGCATATAGTATCTGCCGATACCATAGATATTAAAGAAGGCTTGACTTATGAAGAGGTACCTATAGAAATTTTCGATAGGCAAGTAAGAAAGTTGAGAACAAAAGATATAGCATCGGTAAAAGTTTTGTGGAGTAATCATGATTCAAAAGAGGCTACGTGGGAGGTCGAGGAAGATATGAGAAAGAAATATCCACATTTATTTGAGGAAAAAGATATGTAAACCTAAGTTGGTTTGACATTTATATTTCATTTATTAAATACAAGTTGGCAAGTGTTTATGTCCTTCCTAGATTATACTTAGTTGTTGCAGTAATTTAGTTTATTCCGTAGTATATTTAATTTAATAAAGTGATTTACTTGTGCTAAAGTAGTTGTGCTTTAGATTCTTGTTAGTTATTGTGGTACCTCCTTGTCGGAGTATGAGTAATTAATTTATAAGTTGTGTATGGTGCCTATGAATGGCCTGTTATGGTATATTTGGTTGTTATTGGTGTAGTTGTGGTATTTGTGACAGGGATATTTTTGGATAGTCCAATTTACAAGGGAAACTTTGCCAAAATTTTTGAAAATTTAGGGAGTTAGTCAAAATTTTGAGTCCCTTGGAAAAGTGAGTAGTGCTAAGAAAACTTAAGAGGTTCAAGGACCTAAGGGATGATTGTTAGCTTAAGAATAAAGCCCTAGCAACATTCGAGGACGAATGTTTTTAAGGAGGAAAGATTGTAACACTCCTCAAATTTANATTAATTTTCAAAAGTGGGTATCATTAATTATTAGTTAAGTTAAAAAAGAAGAAGGAAAAAGGCCTAAAAGCCCATAAAAGGGTTGTTTGAAGCAAAAGGCTCCAAGCCTTAAAGAGAAGCAGAACGTTTATCAAAAAGGACGGAAGGCAAAAGCTGAGACGAAAGACAGAACAGTTCACTCACGAAACAGAGGCTTCTTATCACACATGCAACGGAAAATCTAGGGTTCTTTACAAATCACTAATTCTTGAACTCAGGTATGTAAAATTCCCTATGGTCAATTACCGTAATAGGTAAGAATTGAATAGTTAATTACCTTATTCCTCTATATCAACAATAAATTTCATGTTTAGGTGTAAAATTTTAAATTTATTAAAATACACTGGTTGTTGTAGAATCAATTGGTTGACGGGTATAAATTGGACTGGGGCCTACGTATTTGCTCGAGAAGTTTTGAGGTGAGTTAATATAATCCTTTACCAAAGTAGTTTTACTCACAAAAGTATGCATACAAGGTGTTTGTTGAATTGGCTAAAAGAATGAATATGTACTTAATTGAAGAGTGAGTAGCTCATCTTACTTTCCAACTCAAAAGTTTTGTGCCTCACATTCAATTTCAAATCGTTTCCCTTATGTAGAAAAAATAAAGTTCCTACCATTAGGTTTGTTCAAAAATCTGCATTTTTAGTTTGGTACTATCGTATTAGAAACACGGTAAGAGTAAATATTGTGAGGAATCCAATTCATATGTTTAGATTTTTTTTCCTTTTTTCTTTTTTTTTCTCTATTTGGAATTTGGCCAAAAAGCTGCATTGACATTCTATTAGCATAGAATTATGTTAGTTAAAGTCAGATGATTTATTCTGACATATGTGCTTAAAATTTTAGATTTTTATGTTATTCTTATATGCTATTTTTATGTGGGAAATTTATGAAGAAGCAAGATTCTTTAAAAATACTTTTGAATGTTTATTTCATTTTTATGTCATGCTTTATATTTAAGGATACCTGTATAATCATGTGTATAAGATTTAGACTTGAAAAGTCACAAGAAGAAGTTTTAGAAAGAAAAGATTTTTGGGAATATCCTTTATTCTGAGAAGTGGTCATCGTCCAGGCCGAGGGTTCTGACCAAAGTATTGGCTTCCTGAAACTACTTGTGCCAAAGTAGGGAGAACACGAGCCGGGGGTCTCGTTGCTAAGAATTTACTTAGCCATGCTAAGATAAGATGCATGAGCGCTGAGAACCATGAAGCGAGTGGCACCTCGTGGATTGGGCTATTCGATCAGGTTGGGATCGAACCCGTGCCGATCACATGGTGACTGAGACAAAATTAAGTCAGGATAGTTGGAATTCCCAAAGTATAAAGAGAAGTATTTTTTTTTTTGAAAAAGAAAAGAATTTCTTTTAGAATATTGATAAACTGTTATTATGCAATTATTTTAGAATTGTTCTTATAAGCTTTATGTTTTATATGCATTTAGAATCTTTGCTCGTAATGTATATGTTATTTAAATTTCGTCCTCTATTGTTGAGACTCACTGAGTACAATGGATGGTACTGACGTTCTCTTTTGGGAACCTACGTTGGTCTGCGGTACAACGTATGAACTGGATTTACAGGCGAGCAGGCTACGAGTTAGGGCTTCCTTCTCTTCGAGTGTTATTGGTGAGCTCCGCTTTTGTTCGTGGAGTATTCCTTAGAGTCATTTTTATTTAGCTATTTCTTTGTTTACTTAGAGAACTGACCAGGAAATCTCATGTCCCGAGCAGTGCGTCAGTTTATCAGTAGATGCTTCATAGACATAGTTGTTGGGTTAAGATTCGAATGTTTTTTTAATAATAACTTAGCAGTAATTCAGTAGTTACTACGAATAAAGTTTTGGAGATGATTTATTTAAATATTTAAATTAGTCAAAAGTATTTGATTAGAGTATTGCCTTGTTACATATAAAGTTTGGAGTTATGATAGATTTGATAAGCATAGATGGTTCGCTCGGCCGTGTTTAGTGATCGAGTGCCGGTCCCGGCCTGTTCAAAAAATGGATCATGACAAATCTTATCTCTATCAGTAGAATTTACCTGCACATAAGCAACATGACAAAAAAATTTCAAATGTGAGAGAATTACCTCCTTTTTTGTCCATACCTTCTCAGGAATTTTAAAATTCAGCGGTACAGAGGGTCCCCTGTTTATGAGGTAAGATGTCGTGTTAACAGCCTCGGCCCAAAAATACTTTGACAATCCAGAATATAGTTTCATACTTCTGGCTCATTCTTTAAGGTTTTGTTTATACTCTCAGCAATGCTATTTTGTTCCGGTGTTCCATGAACTGTCTTGATCATTCTGATCCTATTCTCAGAGCAGAATGCTTTAAACTCTTGACTATCATACTCTCATCCATTGTCAGACTTCAGACATTTTAACTTTAGACTTGTCTCATTTTTAACTTCAGCTTTCCATCTTTTAAAGGTAACAAACACATCACATTTATTTTTCAGAAAATAAATCCATACCTTTCTTGTGGAATCATCAATGAAGGTGATATAATAGCGTGAGCCTCCCAAAGAAGTTACAGAAGCTGGTCCCCACACATCTGTATGCACTAGTTCCAGCTTCTCTTTCTTTGGTGTCCTTCCCACCTTTGAGAAACTAATTCTCTTTTGTTTCACATAAATGCAATTTTTGCATAAGCCTAATTCAACATGTTTTAGGTTTGACAACTTTTCTTTGGATGCCAACAACTGCCTCCAGTGCCACAATGTTTGTATCACGACCATGATCAACTGTTGCTATAGTATCTCTCTGTATTGCAGTTGCATACAGTGTTCACTTCTTGAAGCCTCGCACCACAACCAAATTTTCTTTGGTTATCTTCCACGATCCATTACTGAATGTTGTTGTATATTCTTCATTGTCAATCTGACCCATAGATATCAGATTTTTCTTGAGGCTAGAAATATGTCGGATATTTTTGCAATTTCCATAGCATGCCTTGTGAAGTCTTTATATGAATTTCACCTTTCCCGACAATGTCCAGAGGTTCGCCGTTTGTTAGATAAACTTTCCTGAATTTTTTAGCAATATAATTATGCAATAATTCTTTGCATGATATAGAGTTAAAGGATGCACCTGAGTCCAGAATCCAAGATTCGACTAGTGTGTCTGCACAACAAATTTGTGCATCACCGACTTGTTCAGCAATTACATTTGCTGAATTTTCTTCTTTCTTCTTCTTTGGTTCTCTACATTGACTACTGTAGTGACCCTTTTTATCGCAATTCCAACAAGTAATGTCCTTGCGATTTTTGGATTTCCCTCTTCTCCTTGACTTTGATCTACCACGGCCATGACATTGTCCTCTTTGTTGCTTATTCCCTTACTTTCGGTATTAAAAGCAGATCCTGGGGAATCACTTGATTCTCTTCGGCGAATATCTTCGCTTAGAACCAAGTCTCTAATATCATTCAATTTGAGTTTGGTATTTCCCCATGAACTGCTAACTGCAGTTACCATTGTAGACTAACTCTCCAGTAGAGATGATAGTAGAATTAATGCCCTGACTTCGTCATCAAATGTTATATTAATAGAACTCAACTGAGTTAATATTATGTTAAACTCATTGTTATCTTCCGTAATAGATCCACCTTCTTTCATCTTTAAATTAAACAATCGATGCATCAAATAGACTTTATTTGAAGTAGATGGCTTCTCGTACATATTTTATAATGCCTTCACTATGCGTGTAATGGTCTTCTCGTTAATGATGTTAAACGCCAAATTTCGTGCTAGCGTCAAACAAATCACACTAAGAGCTTGGCGATCTATCCCAATCCGCTTTGGCCATATTCTCTGATTTTACCTCAGTCAGAGGTAAGTGTAATTTTTTTCTGGTATAAATAATCCTCTATTTGTATTTTCTAGGATCCAAAATCTTTGCCATTGAACTTGTCAATCTTAAACTTCCATTCTTCCGATGTCATTTTTTATATAAAAAAAAATAATTATGTGAATAGTGCTTGCACCAATACCGTACTTTTCTACCAGAATTACAGTGTCCCTGCTTTGATACCAAATGTTGGGAAGCGTATAAGGCTAATAGAAGGAAAAAAATATTTAAAAGGAGAAAAATAATAAATTGCACAAGATAAGACAAGACAAGACAAGATTTGCGTGGTTCGATAATTTTTACCTACTCATCGGTCACACAAAGAATAGCTCATTGTTAATTGAAAAGAAAGAAGAAGTTGAGGGATGATCTGCAAATGAAAATGCAGACCCCTTTTGTAGGCATTTGAATGCCCTACTGACGTAAGCGCTTATGTCATAAGAAAAGAATTTAATCTGCCGATGTAAGCACTTATGTCATAAGAATGCTGACATAAGCCCTTATGTCATATGAAATGCCGACTTAAGCAATTATGTCATAAGACCTATCATTTTTCTTTCTTTTGTTCAAAAGGAATGCAGGCGTACTAAGAATAAGCTAAAAATTGAAGTATATATCACTTGGTGCATGCTTTAAAATCTTTTTTGGAATGATTTCTGTAATCTTGGATTTTGCTTTATTAACTTTGTATAAATTCAGCAGTAAAGTATTGGACATTCTAATTTCAATTAGTTCAATTTCATCATCTAAGTGAAGTGTTAATTTTTTTTTACTAGAACTTGCCCCGTCTTGTTTATTGAGGCGAAATCCTAACCATCACCGATCTAGAAAATGAAGTAGGACTTCTTTCAATCCTGTCTAGCCAAACACTACAATCATTAATTAAATAAATCCCTAATGTCCTCCATTTGAGTCATTATACAAATTGCTTGTTCTTTCAATAAACTACCATGAACTTCACTAACACATTTCAACCTTGTATTGTATAAAATCACAAGGGAAAATTTCGCTTGCATACGCTTGTATATAAATATAAGTTCTCAGGTTCATGTTACTGCACTAGAAAAGTTGAAGAGATTATGGAAACTCTAAACTTGAAATGAAAAAAAAGAAGTTATATATATATGGTTGATGAACAATTCAAAAAAAAACTTTATATGAAGAAGAAAATGAAAAGACTCATTTAGTACTCATTTCTCAAAATATATGGGAAGACTGCAGTAAAGGATGACAGCAGATTAAATATATTTGAGATCCTTCATAAACGCCAAGTTCGTCAGTCACTTAAATAAAAAATATATCTCTAATATCCGACCAAAGTACTCAACCTATGTTATAATCTAATAAAAGTCCTACAAGATTCTATGATCAGTGTTAGTTTATATTAGTAGAGATCTACAAATTGGGCAACCTATTGTCATTTGACAAACACTAATTTTATGATTATCTTGAACAAAGGTCGATTGATGAATATTCCCAATTTAAACTTCAAGGGAATCCTGTATTTACTGATGAAATGATCTTTTCTCTTTAAAGGAGCAACTCATAAATTTCTTCGAGCACAAAGAAATATCTAAGTGTAGGGGTATTTGATAAAGATAAAAAAATAAAAATATTATGCATAAAGTTAATTGTTATATAAAAAAGGCGGAATGACTTCTTGACCACTTAGACTTGTAGGGCATTTGAAACCCGATACATGAACTTTAAACTTTCCTATTTGAACACTCAAACTCATGATTCTCTTAACTAATAAACACATTTGACCGTTGACCATTGACCATGCCTAAGTGGAGGAGGTGTAGATGACATGGCAATAATGCGTGCACATCACTGCTATTAGGCAAGTAACTTGCAATTTTTTTGATTAGTTTTTATAAAAGAACAAAAAGGACAATAAATAAAAAAAAAGGAAAGAAAAAAAAAAAAAAGCAAAAGAACCCTTGTTTCTTTTGTCACCATTCCCTTATATCCAGCTACACCTCTTTCACTCTCTCCTCTCTTTCATCCCATCCTCCGTCCAACTTCTGTTTCAGCATCAGAATAGGAATAATTCAATGGATACTCATCAAATCTAGATTCAAAGACTCTTGTTTAGTAGAATTCTTTTTTTTTTTCACTTTCTTCTCTCTTTTTTATTAATAAAGTTTTCAATTTTGTAATTCACAAAGTGATTTGGGTTGCTGAATTCAGTGACATGGGTCTATGTTAAAAGGCTTGAAATCAAGAATTTGAAAAGAAAAAAATTCAAAACAATTTTGCCTTTTTTGGTAATTTCTCTGTTGTGTAAATTTAGATTTGGATCTTTTTCGATAGTACCATCGAAGAAGACGATCGGCTAAAGCATTTCGTATAGCATCTTTCTTTTTAGATTTGGTCTTTGGATGGTTTTAAGAGAGAGAGTTTCGAGAAGAAAAAAAGGGATAATCAGAGAGGATAGCGACTTAATTTTTCTGGTGACTACTTTTTTCAGGTGGTATGTCGTTCATGTTCTCTGATCTAGTCTATTGTCGGTGTCAAAAAAGTGAAGCACCGGTATTTTTTTTTGTCAATCTTTGTATTGTGGTCTAAGCGAGGAACGATTATAGGGAAGAAGTAATGAAGGAGGATTTTCAGAGAGGCATTTAAAAGACAATAGCATAAGAGATTTTGTAGGCAAAATTTGAAGGTATTCCGCTTGTATTCCCATAATGATGAAAGGATGCTTATGGGAGAAGAAGAGAATGATAAAGAATTTTAAATTTTGATAAATTAATTCTTATAAAATGGGACATACTCATTAGACGTGTCAAACAATAAAAGGCTTAAAATGTGACGTGTCATCTTTGACAGCGCAGTTGAGGATCACGCGTTGGTGGAGGCATTTACAATTCCCAATTTATCAAGTAGGAGTGATTAAATGGGAAAGTTGCAAGTTCGTCTATCGGCTTTACAAATAGATGCAAGTTTAAGTGGTCAGGAAGTCATTCCGCCTATAAAAAAGATTATGGTACTAATCTTCTATTTGCATTGAAGGAAATAATAAAATTTGGAGAAAATCAACAAATCACTACTTGTCAACACTTGGACTAGAATGAAATTAAAGATCGGAGATTCATATATGGACCCCATCATATAGAAATGAGCACATGAAAAAAATGAATAAAAAGAAGGAAAGTATGCACTTCAAGCAAGTATCGTTGAGAAACAAAGTATTCAAGTGTACACTTTATTTGTCAAAGAAAAAAAGCTAAAAAAAACAGCCATCTTCAGCTGCTTATGAGGGAGTCGGCAGACAAGGAAATGAGCAATTCTTAGTTTTAGACGATTAACTTTATCTCTGGATAACTCTTTTTCTATTCCAAAGTTGTAATATTAGTATTGTCCTATTCGTATTTTCTTGTCTGTAATTCTCTATTTAAGTCTACTACTTATATATGGTAGTATGTCCCTCTATGTGTTAAAGTTTGTTTCTTTCGATAATTGCCGCATGAACTTTGATAAGTTATTACAATAGTATTCGTATTTTCAATTGCTGCTTGATCAGAAATTTACCTATATATGTTGGAAGGCAGATTTTTGAGTGATAAATATTGTCATATTCATCTATTTTATTTCTTAACATATTTTGTATTAATCCTTGTAAAAATAAATTTGTTTTAGGAATAAACAAATATCACTTTAGAAATCTCTTGAGAAAAATGTCAGTATTATAACTTAGTTCATATTGAGAATTTTACGCAATTTATTTATTTAACATGTTTTCTTGTAGTTCGTCTTATTTCGAGAAACCTAATTTTGATAACACTATCACCGATTTTATCAATTTGATTCTCTCAAATAGTAAGTCAAGGTAATATAAATCTATAAAATTTGCAGGCAGAAGGAAAGAGAACGAGCGAAACGAAGTGGATAGAATATACAATCTATGTGGGACAATACTTAACTATAATTTGACAAAGTACGAGTCCTAAATCTTTATATGTTAGAAACTGTCATATAACATTAATCAAAATCCAATTTATTGCCGGTCAAGCTAAGGAGGGAAGTAAGGTTGTCACTTGAAAAGGAAAACATGAGGAAATAATTACACTCATACTGTGTACATTTTGGCTAGCAAAACTGAATCAAGTGCAAGTTGCTACTTGTAACTCTTGCATCTTTAAATAAGGGAAACATCCATAGAATGGAAGACTAAGTTTGAGAACCCTTGAACTGGAACGGAACAAAACAATTTCACCAAAGAAAAACTGATTTGCCCCCTCTGCAGTGCAAGCTCAAGTTAAATAATACGCTATGTTACATCTGCCATCAAATGATGGCTGCTTTTGCTAGAATGCAAAGAGAATGAAATCAAAGAATCACCTATGAGCCACGGGCGGATGAGCTCGTTGGCATGCTATACCCCAGGGAACGGTTGTCAAGAAGCTTGGATCTATAACCAACATAATAGAGGTAATCCAAAGATGTGCCATAGAAGGAAGAATCATTAGTCAACCAGACACGTCCAGTTTCTTTTGCCATGGGAGAGCATCTTCCTAGGGAAGAACACACCCTGTTTGCTCGAAGCAGGTTTGTCCAACGCCTCCTTACTTCTTTACTCCTACCTCCAATAAGACTAAAGCACAACGCCTATTGCAGTATGTACAATATCTTCACGCAGAACCGCTTGCAACCTCTGCAGCACGCTGTCTCATCATCTCCATGACAGCAGCCCTCCGACGAGAATCTGATTGCTGCTGCATCCTCCGCAGATGTTCTTTCAAATCTCTGTATAAAGGGTAGAAATATAGCAAATTTTATGTTGTTAATTTAAGCTGAAATTCAAAAGTGAGAACTGCCAAAAAGGAGAGGCGGAAAGGGAGATAAACTGATAAAGTGATTGTGTTTTATGAAAATCTTTTGCTAATCTATCAATCACTAAAATCCACCTATATGACCTATGCAAAGCATAACCAATCCCCAGTTAGATAAAAGAGGGTTGCCGCAGGTTGATTGCAAGCATAAAAAATATTCAATAACTATGATTAATCCACGGAAGCATAGACCGAAATGGGGTATAGAGGATCATGTAGCCAACCTCAATCACTTTGGGTTGAATCATAGTTGTTTGATTCTGATTGATTACTACTCGTAGTAGCTACTGCTGTTAATAGCAGGAAACAATAGCATTGGCTAATCATCATTTAATTAATTATTATGACACTATCAAAGGCAAGTGATTGGTTACAAAAATGTAAGGACCAACAAACCTGCAACGTGGAACACGACATTCAAATTCTTTGCATGCACGAGCATGCAGTTGAAGGAGATACCACATCTTCTTACAGAGTAAACAACCTCCTGAAACTCGTATTTTGCACTGTATACCGTGGCGGAAAAGCCCCTTAACTTTGCGACAGTTTGGATATTGACAATGTAGATAGCGGCACTGAGAAGCATGCACCAGAAGTTCAAGCATCTTCTTAAGCTGTAGAGTTAAAAGGGAGAAATCATATCAGATCTCAAATGTCTAGTATATATATTTTCAATAAAATGGAAGAAAATATAATCTGGCTAAAATAATTTCATTTATATGTGCAACAGAGCCATCGATATCATAGAATGCCTACTTAAACCGTAAGGTATCGCTTAATCATTGTCCTCTTATCTTTTCAATTAGGATGGAGAACTGCTAAAGCATTTAATACTTTTCTCTTTCAAATGAATTTCCAGATGTTCAATCAAGAAGTTCTCAAGGAGCTGTTTGGATAACATTTGTAAAAAAAAAAAAATTGAAAAAGAAAAAGGTTTTGCAAAAAGATAACAGTCTTGGATAGCTCTAATCTTCAAAGTAAAAAGGTTTTTCAAAAGAACAGACCTGTTGTGCAAATTTGCAAATTCACATAACAAATAAGACCTTGTATTCACGCTATTCAGTATTTTCAAGAAAATGAATGAAACAATCATCACTACTACTCAAAGAAGAGATAATTGGGATAATTTTGATTGGTGATTGTCATTGAGCAACATCGCTAAATTGTACATACTTCACCATCTCGGCGTGTTATTAATGAAAGAATATTTATTTGTCCAAAAACACAATTGTTTCAGGAATTTTTAGCAAGTACAAACTTCAGCCTTAAGGTGTGATACACTAACATTTAGCTATACAATAGCTTATTTCATAGGAACGTGGGTAGTAGAATAACGGGTAACCTAGAAGAATGCGGACTCCTCAAGGTTGGGATCTGATACTTAGAAGAATGTTGAATGATTGGGAACTGAGCTGTACAAGCAACTGGTAAGTCTTCAAAGGACTTGAAAATGGGATGGATTCACTATGGTGGAAGGGCCACAACAGAGGCATCTGTAAGGTGAATATTGCATACAAGATTCTAAATCACACTAATCTCCAGATTACTAATTGGCCATGGAAGCATATCTGGAAAGTCAAGATACCCTACAAGGTATCTTGTTTCACTTGGTTACTAGCGAAGGAGGCAGTTCTGACCCAGGATAATCTCATAAAGAGAGGAATTCCACTGTGCTCAAGGTGCTTTCTATGCGGGGAAACAGCTGAGACCCATCTATTTTTACACAGCAAGATAACAGATCAACTATGGAAGATCTTCATTAATCTCAGAGGTATCTCATGGACAATGCCTTGTAAGATTACTGAAGTGTTTACTAGTTGGGATGAAGCTGGAACTGCAGCTAGAGACAGAGATAGATGGAGGACTGTCCCTGTATATGGTGGACAATCTGGAAGGAGAGAAACTCTAGGTGTTTTGAAGACAGTAGCAACGCAGTGCAGAAGATCAAACTGAATTGCGTTCTACTTTCTTATTTTTTTGGTGTAAACAGAAGTGTCCAGAAGATACTGTATCAATCCTAGAAGAAATACTGCTAGGATCGTAGATCAGTTATTCTTCCCTTTTTGTTCTCTTGTAAATATGGTTTCCGTACAACCTATGTACTGTTATATATTAATACACAATGTTACCATCTCAAAAAAAAAAAAGGAAGAAGAAGAAGAGTGTCGAGTAACCTAAAGTGAATCAAACATGAGGAGAGAACTACAGAGAAGCTGCAGTGAACTAGGACTAACATAAAGTTATTCAAAGAGGATGAAAGTGCTCCGAAAGAACAAAGCTGTGGTAGGTGACAGGGATCTAGAACTGACCCAAGAGTTGTAACAGAGGACTTCATAGACCAAACATAGGAAGCAGCACGAAACAACAAATTAAATAAGGGCCAAGAAGAATGCACCTGCAAAACTCGTAGTTGCCTAGCTTCTTTATTCTGTGCATCACGTTCGGCCAGGGATGGATGATTAGTCAACTTATGAGGATGATCAATTCCACCATCTTTTTTATAACAGGCATTGCAAACATCATAATCTGGGCAAACTTCACACCGCCAACCTAGACCAGTTTCTATATCAAGGTGACAAATGTTGCAAGTTGTCACAAATGCTGGTGCAGTGGGATTATGAAGGTGGTAAAGGACCATCATTGAGGAATGTTTAGCACGCCTCAGGGTATCATATTGGTAATGATTTCCTTGACAAAGGCTCAAAAATGCCTGCCTTGTATCAAAAAACTCACTCTCAAGAATTTCATCTTCATCCTTGGTGTCATGAGGTACCTCCTTGATTTCACACTGGAAAATTTTCATNTAAGTATCCGGAACCAAAAATTGCTCCATAAAGATCTCCCACCTAGGCAGCAACCCCCCAACCCCGCCAGGGGGTTCTTTGTTTCTCTGCCAGCAAGATGGATTGTTGAGAAGGAGATCTATCTAATTCATGCTCACAAAGAGGCAAAATGGCACAACCACCACCAAATGACACTACATTTCCCAACTCACCTGTACTGGTGAAACACACCAATGATGAGCAACTGAAGGCGTGTCATTCAATGAGTTGTACTGCAAACAATGGCAGACACAGGATTTTGTGCAAGCGGGTTCAATCTTAGAAGTACATAACTTTAGTCGTAAAATAGTAGTT